TTCCCCGTCCCGATACAAATTAAAGGTTTCAAATTCAGCCGCCACGTAGGCATGATTCTCGTGTACGAGCACCTAAATTTTAGGCGGAAAAATTACTCATTGAACGGCTGGGTCATTTTCAAAAAATGACCGCTAAACCGAAATTTGCTTATTTCCTTTTATGCAAAATTTACGATAATTCACGGTATTGAGCGCAAAAGGTAGGTGTGAAGAAAAAGCCGTTCATGCGGTTAACGTAGTTACTTCAAGTTTGGTGAAAAAACGCATGATCACACCGGCTCGCCTGGTGTATTCCAGTCTAATTTTGACGAACGGTTGCTCTGGCAACATTTTCGCTTTTCAGTGAACTGAAAGTTTGCATTTTTTCAAAGAGCGAGTATTTACTAGAAGAACGACCGGGCTTCATACAAAAAAACTGATAATTATGTTTCTGGAGGTCCATGCAGCACTATAATGCAACACTTTCGTCCCAACCGACGCTCTTCCCCTTGTATACTGGAACAAACCAAAGCATGACTAATATAAGCTCAAGTGTTAGGCTACAACGCAGGGATCAATCCTGCTGTTAGCGATCTGTAAGTTTAGTGCAAAAACGCATGATCGCACCGACAAGCCTGGTGCGTTCCAGCCTGGGTTTTATTAACTGTGCGTCTGAGGCCAATTGAGGTACGCACACTAATTTTCTCTCAGTCGATCTTATATTTATAATTCAGTGTATTCGGGACAAAAGTAACATTGATCTAAAAGGACTGCTAAAATTATTTGCTGGTCCATCATTATTGCTGACAAACGTAATGGTTGATTTGTGACTTACGAATGACCATCGACACTTTCCAGCCGTTACCGCCACATGTCAGTGAACAGTACTCACAATGCAGTCAATTACACCTGATCCCGATTAAGAATTCCTTAGGAGTAGATGGACATTAGCAGAAGAATTTTTTAAAAGGAAGATTACCGAACCTGGAAATGCATGCGGTAGATTGCTGTGGCTCAGTAAGGC